CATATAAATACATGTCCTTATCGAAAATCGTACAGGACTTATATTTGTCTGTAAAATAGCTAAGCATATAACTAAATACTTAAAAACCAAGACACAAAAAAGTAATGCGGCGATTGTTCCAAGCCTTAATGAGTTAAAGATATTCACAACATTGTTTGCCACATTCACGTATATGTTATGCGTCAAACAAGAATGTAAGCTAGGATCGATATGTGATGCTCCGCGACCTATCGACCTGGTTTTGTTATTTGAAAGAAAATAATTTGTTTCAACATTTCAATTAAGACTTCCTTATTAATCTCACCATATGCTATAGTGAGATTAGTTAGAAAGTAAATTCTCTATTCCCTGTTAATTTTTTCAACTTCTGATCTACTTCAAGATATTTTTAAGCGAGTTTCAGGAAAATATTACCAGTTTCAGGAAAATATTACCAATCCGCAAAGTGGCTGACGCCATATCACGATGTTACCAAAAATGGTACGTGGCCTTAAGAGCCTGATAAAATATATTATTCAATTATGAAGTTAATTTAATTTCTTGTTTTAGAAAATAATATTGGAACGAACTTCCTAAATGAGGCATACGGGAGGTGTGGGTTGGCAGAAGTCGTCATGGATGTATCTATATAATTAAATTTTTATTATATTTTAACAATTTATAATTAATGTTTTATGTATCATCATCATCCTTTCAGCCTGTTTGAGTCCAATGCTGAACATAGGCCTCCCCCACGGACTAATTATCATTAAATAATTTTAAAATAAAATGTTAAGTGACTTTTGATTACTTAAATTTAATTGTTTGCATTGAATAACTGATATAAAATAATAAATTACTTGTAACGGAGGTTCTTCCGAAGGCATATATGTTCTAAAATTATAACTTAAAAACTACCAAAATTTTGTAAATGTGGCCGATGGGATTTGAATCTGGTGTATTTTTTCTATAAAAATATAAGCATCTGCAGGTTGTTGAGCTCGGATGAATCCGTCTAATTAACCTCGGGTTAAGGCTGCCAATGTCGGCTGATAAAACGCCGACGTAGAAAGAAGTGAGAAAATAAAAACCAATGTTACGAAAAACACTATAGCTTTTGAAAATAGAATGAAATGAAGGTTTTTTTTTAAAGTATTATGTAGTAACACGTTTTTTTTTAAAGTGTATTTAGCTAAAATAATTTAAACTGTACCGCCATTAACGTTTTTTTATGTAATTTTCACTGTAGCCTTGGCATCGATTTTTCTACTTCTTGTTAGGGCAAAAACTTTTCTCTGAGATTGCCGTGACAACATACAAATGTTTACATTAGTGGCCTCTATTATTAAAGTTGAAGGTTGCAAGAGATTTGTGTGATTGGAATAGTCCAACAAGTTAAAATAAATATACATCGGTATATATACTATACCTGTGTTTATATCTATTTTAACTTGTTTTATAACCTCATGTGTTGATTAACTAACATTTAATAAAAAATAATATATAATTTAATTGAGCACTTGATTTCGCCAAAATAAAATCTTAGTCTTAGTAATTTAGTTTCACCCTTTGGGTACGAAAACCTAAAACATTATAAGTATTTTATTCAATTATTTTTTTTAAATATTTTGTTTAGATTTTAAAATGTTTTGTTCCCTGAATTCAATCACTTCAACTAAAGAATTTTATTTCATTCTGGATTTAAATGCAGTTCAATCAAGTCAATGAAATCAGAAAAATAGTTTGAAAAGATTTCCATGAAATTTGCCAAAACTTTATAAAATAAAGGGTTTAGATTATAGTTTTATTAAATAAAATGTTCAATAGAATTGCATATATATATCGTGATAGATTGTTCGCAACGAAGACATCCACAGTAGAACAAAGATAACTGACATAGCTCAGAGGGTTAGTAAGCTGAAGTGGCGATGAGCCGGCCATATAGCTCGTAGAACCGATAACCGTTGGGGTATAATAATGTACTAACTAGTTTATTCTGGAACATCTATCATAAGTATCGTATCATAGATCTACTAAAACCTATGACATTAATTATTATGCGGTTAGAATCGTTGTAGTTTGTTTCTGGTTGTAATTCGTTGTAATTGGTTTCTGCTAACTTAAGTCTGTCAGTGTGACACGCAATTTCATCGATATTTAACAGTTTGTACAAACTTTCGGTCGCAGTTAAATTTCATATGTAAGTAATTTTTCAAAAATCCTTAATTAGGTGTATTACTTACGCTATCTTATCTATTATTACAATCCCCAGTTTCATACCCCGACAGTTATTAGTCGTACATTCCAAAATGTAAGTAAATATATATCTCCAAAAAACAAACACTTGCCTTCCTATAAATAAAATGTGAATTCATACATAAAAACATGGTCACAACGGCGTTTAATATATTGTAAATATTTTAACGTAACTTAGTACTATATAGGTAGGACGGAAGCTTCAATTAATTCCAGTGTCTATGTGGGTATGGTCAACCTGATATTGCCATATAGGAAATAAATGTTAGTTTCCTCTGAGTGGTAGTCTCGGATAATTTATGGCCGTAACTAGTTGAAAAAAAAATCGAAATTGCTATCACTTTCTGTTACATTTCATGGAATGAAGTACTAAACTTTTTATTAGATCTGGCTTATAAGTTTCTAAAGTATTGAACTTTTTATCATTTTTATCAGTATTGTGTATACTTTAAATGGGCATATGTTAAAACAAAACCTGTACGTAAAACAACACAAAATGTAGATAGCAAAATATGTAAAGTTCTTGGTATACCTAAATATGTAAAAAGTTAAAAAAAACGTTTTGACTTTGGCATTGCAATAAAAAGTTGCCACTACTCATCGAATTATAGCATATTAACCTTGGCAGGGCCACTCAATTGTCTTATCTATTGCACGAAGGGACAGGTCCGTCCGAGTAAGTACCACGACTTCACAGAAGACCGGTGTGAAGTGGAAGTATTATTAATACTTCTGTTTCGTCAGGTGAGTGAGGTAACCGGGGCCCAATTTATTGAGAGGTGGCAACGCATCTGTAACCCTACGAGTATTGTAAATGTTAATTGGCACCGCTTAACATCGGGTACACCACCAGCTCGTTTGCCACCTTTCACGTAAAAAAGGTTAAAAATACAATAATATCTCACTTAAAAGCAATAATTAACAACATGTATGTGCTGTGAATCTCATATAAATTTATATTTAAAATGAGTCTATTTTCGTTATAAAATACAGCAGCTTTAATATTTCAACATGTAGAAATAGTATCTCATTAAGCGTCTGAGAGATTCACGCCACCCGAGGCGTTTACTGACAACTCAGAGCAAATAAAAGCGAGAATAATTATTCAGCGAACCGTCCTGCTTTTAAGATAACATCTATTTTAATCGCCTACTAGTTCCCCGTAGTAATTATTTGCGTAATAATAAAACTTTTGTTTTATAATTTCTCTAAAAAAATTCTCCAAAATTATACGCAAAATATTTTATATATTTAAAGCTAATACATAAAACAATAAAAGGTAGTGCGGTCTACATAGATATTACTTATTTGTAAAATTATATTACACTAGTGACCCTCCCCGGCTTCGCACGGGTGCAATGTATTATACATATGAACCTTCCTCTTGAATCACTATATCTAGTAAAAAAAACCGCATTAAGATCCTTTGTGTAGTTAAAAAGATCTAAGCATACATAGGGACAGACAGAGAGCGGGACGCCTTTGTTTTATACTATGTAGTGATACACAGCCAAGAGACGTTTACATTTCAAGTTACAGTACCTGAAGGTATTTTGGGAATTACATACCTAGCTAGATCGATTTTTCGCCCCCGAATCTACGCATATACTAAATTTCATGAAAATCGCTGGAGCCTTTTCCGAGATACATTTTCGAGATATATATTTTACCGCAGTCACTCACTCGTTTTGCCTTCCCGGTACTCCTCCACTAACGCTTAAACTTTATGGTATTGTATTAAAGTTGAAATTGACTTTTAAATATTATTACGAATCTTTTGCACGGGAATATAGAAAAGTTGTTTTTAGACTTTTTCAGGCAATTTTTTTAAAGTTTTTCTTTCGTAAGAACCTTCTCCTGATAATAACAAACATAACAAAATCAATCGGTCCAGCCGTTCACGCGTGATGGTGTGACCAAGGGAAATATATAAATATTTAAAAAAGGATTCATTTATATATAATATTTAAAAAAATATTTTATAAAATTATGTTTACAAACACTAAAAATTATAATTGATTGTTGAATAGTCATGGTCATTCTTAATTTTTTTACATAGAATCTTTTGACAGCGGGCAGCGGGGTCGGCTGTGACCTACATAACAATTTCTTATTAAGACACTACCGCCCTTGGAAAAAAACTAAGGAGTTATTAATATATTGTGTGAGTTTAAAACGACGATGTACACATTATTTTAATAGATTGTTAATAATAGTATCTTTTAGGAACCATCGATAATATCTCATACATAAATATTTTGTCACAAAAAAATTCAAATTTTAACGCCATCTACCGCGGGGTTGCAAATATTTCTACTTGGGATGAACGATGTAATGTTTTGCGTTTACTTGTACAAATAGGACTCTTGTAGCGCCATCTTTCAACGCCTCCTGATTGTTTGAGGCAGAGGGCGACAGTGGGCAGGGCAATAATACCGATTTAATAGCGTCGTGGGTCCCCATAGAACTACTTAAAAACGTGATAACCATAGTAAAATACGAAACATAACTATAGTACACTATTACATATGCATAGATAGATAAAAGTTAAAAAAAAGTTTCAACTTTTTATATTTTAAGCAGTAAACGTTAGTCACAATACGCAAGAAAAGTAAATCCCGCCACAAAAAAGGCTAGATCTTTCTTAAAACACTAAAGGCAACATAATACTCCTAATAAAACGAATCATTGCGATATCCAGCTGTGGAAAAAGGTGAAAACTTCGACTAGAACGCACGAGACGTTGCCACACGGCGTTATTTACCATGGAAAGCCGCCCGAGCCTGCAACCGGACACGGCGGGAGGGCGGGCGCCGGCATTACGTAGAGCCACGCGATCACTTTGCAGCGAACTTCGTTCGGGCTGCACGTTCGCAATAGCCGTCCCACGCCACCCACCGTCTAACCATTCCCTACTATAACCCCGTTTGGTGACGTAAAACATTGTTATACATAACTAAATACAACGGCAGACGCCGAGGATTTGCCAACGCTGCGCTACATTCCAACCACTATTAAAACATAACCTTGCCCGTTGCATTCATTATTCAGTGACTGCGCTAAGCAATCGCCAGGATGGCGCCCTTTACAGGTATGTGTCCCAAAATAGATGTTTTCACTTAGGCTTTTATGTTTTGATCTACTTCTTGTTGTGCTTTGGTTTAACATTTTCTTAGGACTAACCTATTAGTTCAACCGATCTCAGTCTCGAAGGATTATTGGCTAATTTAAACACGTATTTTATTGTACATTTTTAACGCGTACATTTTTTTTGTTGTATGATATAAGTTAATATTTCTTAGAAATAAATAGAAAATCTTAATAATCGAAGTGCTTAATCTATGCTAAGTGCGTCACTTTTTATAAGGTGTATTTATACGTATTTTTATAATTAATATTTATCACATAATACATTTGTATTATTTCCTTTTTTTTAAATAATAATAAAATTTTTACTCTCTAGTAATTGCTTTACGATCGAAATTAATTTATAGACCAGTCGTCATTAGCAAGGAAAATTCAGTAAATGGCGATTGAAAAGGCTTTTACGATCGGAAAGGTTTACTGGACTTATAAATACATGAGGTAATTACATTTTTTATCATTGATGTTTATTTCATCAGTCGTTAATAGTAAAGTCAAATAAAATAAACATCAAATTGATATAGATCAAGAGAGCTAGTTAGGAATTATTCTATAAAACTTTCTATAAATAAGTACAATCGTTATACATAAATATTGACAGCATGTATATAATACAAGTTAAAAGCCCTCACATTAACTAGCTGATGAACTAAATTTTATTATTAAAAGGTTTTTTTAGGTACATTTTATTATTCTAATTGCAATTTTTATACATGTTAGAGATGTCCTAAACTACTTTAATTAAAGCTCACGGCAATGTCTTTTATACTTATTATTCTAGAAGGTTCTTACTCTTTGGATGTAATTTCAGTGCGGCAATTTAACTAAATAAATTGTCAAAATAATCGCTATAAATGAAATTGCCCGTGGACATTACCAATTAATTAATTCGATTGAATTGTTATATTTAAATTGGTTACTTTTAATTACATTGTCTTTTTTTCGTTCACGGTATAAAGGGAATTCTAATTTATCAACAAAATGGTTATGTGAACAAAATTAATAGCTTATATTTTGTTCATTACCTACTAGATTTGCAACAAAGGGCGCCGACGTCCGGCGTTTTGATTGTTGGATTATAAGTAAATATAATCTTTATATATATAATTCTTCTGTACGTGTGTATGTCACTGAAATCCTCCTAAACGGCTGGACCGATTTTAATGAAATATAGTCTTCAGGTCGATTCGAGATTATTTTTTTAATTGTTGTCGGATTTAAGTTGTGTGTACAGGACAACGTCTGGCCAGTCCGTTAGTGTAATGTAAAGGTAGAGTAATATCATTAATCAAGCGATTGTCAACTTCGGTTCTTCAGTGTCGAAGTGATATTTACAACCAGTGGGTGTAACTTGCGACGATAATATGTATGAAGAAAGATCAAAAGTTATTTTCGTTATGCTTCAATGGTCTTAATATGTAGAGATTGGCTAGTACGTCATGTGGTATTCTGATAGCATTAGTTCAAATAAAAAAATTGTTGACAATGAATCGTTACTATTTTCGGACTAGATAAAAAGTTCTACTATTTTTTCCATCTGTCACGTTATAATACTGACAATATTCAAAGTTTTGTAGTGAAAAATAATATGTATGAAGCATTAGTTACATTTATAATGATTCAATCATACGCACATTCATTATAATACTAATAATCATAACTATTATATATTTTATATTAGCTTTAATTTCCGCATGGATTCTTGAAGCAATGTTATAAATTAATTAAAAATATTGAACATAGGTCTTTTTCGTCTTCGGTGGGTTTAAAATGTAATTTTCCTTTACCATTAATTATTTACACTGTTTAAACACTCCTTTAGAAATCTTTACTATATAACGAAAACTGTATTGTTTTTGGTCATTTTTATTTCCATATTGTTGGTAACAAAATTATGATATTGCAACCTTCAATGTTATATTATAATATCCCACATATTATATTTATTACGTATGTGGCAATCATAACCGACTTATTCTAACTGTGCACAAGTTTAGGTCTAACATTTAACTAGCATTTAACTATGCAAGTTAAAAATCATAACATTCATTTTAGCTTTATATTATTTTAAATTAAACAAACCTATATCACGAACTTTACATAGGTATATGAAAATCAATAATCTTTCAACATAGAACTTATTTTACTTACCACTGCTTATGTATTGTATCTGATATGCACTTAGATATTTAATTCTGGACCAGTTCTTTGTGTCACCAAAGTTAAGCACAGCATAGCTGGCACTTAAGCAGTAATCTATCATTTTGGGGGCCATTATCGCGGAGTTAAGGGCAGGGGGCGCGGTGGGTCATGCCATCGCCATTCACGGGCGACGATGTTTTTATTTAAGTATTCCACCGTCGTAGCCTACCGAAGCAACGTTTACGAGAAGCCTTATAACGATAATTACCACGACAAAAGAAAAGTTTTCGTATTACGGCTACGAAATGTTTTAAATTACCATTGTTATTGAAGCTATAGGCAGTTCCTGCACGTTTTGAATTAGTTCTATGCAAACCATTTTTCTAAATAATACTCATTCCCGCATAAAATCCAAAGTATCGGGAAGACCATTCTCCCCCAGTCGCAGTGGCAGCTGAGGTTTCTAAAAAACAAATAAGACATTATTGGTATCCTTCCTGCATAAATGTCATGGTCCAGAAGGAGGCACTGGTCTTCTTCTGCGAAGCTGTTATGCTCCAGAAGGAGATCGCTGAGCGAGAAGGGGAGAGGGCTGATCCCGCTCGGAGACGAAAACGTCGGGCCAATAGAAATGGACGTGCCACCCCATCAGCCCTGTAGTCCCGAGCTCACAGAATAGGACTGAGGTATCCACTTCCTGTCGGAAAAACTTAAAGGAGACGTTCGGTTTATGGACTAGCAGCTGTACGAAATGCTCTTGTGCTGTTACAAGATAGTGGGGGAATCGAGGATGGTTTATCCTTCTTCAAGGCATGCTCATGTGTAGTACCGAGGAATACCGGTTCGTTCCGTATGAGATTCCGGAATCCCTCCAAACGTTCATATGGTGGCCACTGAGGGGGTTTAGCGGGTACGAACCCAACATAACCCTGTCATGTTTGGGATTACAGGATATCTTTTGAAGATTTCCCCCTCGATAACAAAAAAAATATCAAACTAATAATACCTGACCTAAAATACAAATTGAATTTGCTGAAAAGCGCTGTTATAAAATGATATATAATTAAATGCATATATTTTTAGACTATTTATAGGGTTTTACTGCATTACGCATTACTAAAGGCGTATGATATGAATCGTATTCCGTTTTTTGACCGAGCCTCGCATGAATAAAACGAGATATTAGATTGCCGATACGAGCGTGACCTTCTATTGAACCCCGAGGATTTTATTAACATGGCACTGTTTGCGAAAGGATATAATATGTGTGCCCAAATGTTGCCCAAAAATTGGCCAGAATGCAAAGTAATATTCAAAACCTTATTTATTGTATTTAGTTCTTTCCGTTTTTTACGTTTATTTAGAATATACTGAAATACAATTTTAAAACTGACAAATATTGTCGATAGCGCTATGCTATATGATATGATTTAGAGCTTTTAGATGTAGAGGTTCATTCAAGATCTTAAATTAATTGAAGACCGGAAATATCTGCAAGTATTTCTTAGAAAAATATTTAAAATTTTTATTTATATTTAGATTGTCATTATAAAAGTTACTGTCAGATATAATAGAAGGTAAAATTATATATAAGATCCATGGAAAAGAGAGTGTTAGAATATAATGTCTAAAAATAAACAAAATTAAAATCAAATAAGTAATAAAAGATATTACAATAAAGTGGCATGTTTTTGTTTTCTTTAGTAGGTCGATAATATACCAAGAAGCAGTTTGACGATTTTAATTTATAAACTATTATAAATAAAAGTATATAAATGTACTTGGTTTAAGGTACATTATTTTTTGTGTAGTAAAGTAACAAGCACTACGTTTTTAGGAGTAAATAATATTTATGTAGCGAAAAGCTAGTACTTTTCGCCCGCGGCTTTTTTTAAATAAAAGGAATCCTATGTCCTTTTTAATATCTCTAAGAATATGTGTAGTCTCATGACAATCGGTTGAGTAGTTTTGACGCTTTAGCGTAACGAACTTAATTTACATTCACATTTATAATATTAGTAGGGATAACTGACAAAAGTACATATATGCCTGAATTTATACTTAATTATTAGTAAGAAAAACAGAAAGGATATTACATGTCTAGAAATATTCTGAAACTTATAATGGTGTGAAAAACAAGGTACTTAATAAATACTCGAACATTCTTGTTGGTCTCAAGTTGTTAAAGCTACTTCATTATTTTTGATGTGGTGAGAGAACATGAGAAGATTTCGTTTTATATTCAGTAAAAATGAATTAACGAGCTTTTGAGTTGCAAACAAATATGGTTTCTATATTATAGGTTTTATCTATGATTGTATGTAATTGTGATAGAAAAGGGGCCGAATCGGCTTTGGTTAAAAGGTGTGTTTAAGCAAAGGTAAAAAAATCTTTATGTAGGTATAGCAAAGTTTCAGCAAATAAATCTGAAATCGATTAGAAAACGAATGTTTAATGCATCTGTCATATAGAATTATGACTGACTGAACTCAGTCAGTCGTAATTTTATAATTACATAGTTCGCTGAGAAGATTTTCGTGTCCGTATACATAAAATCCCTACATGTATAACGTTTGGATTTGTTCTTACGTAACGATGAAGACACTAAGTTAAGCTAGCTCCAATTATTTGTTTTGTGTTTACAGTATTTCTTCAATTTATATGAATTTGTATGACCTATCTTCATTTTATAAAATTCGTAAACAGAACCAACTTAAAAATTTAATTAGCATTTAAAGCATTTTAGAACTTCACTGTTTAAAGAGAATTTGTCACAGTCAAATTTAATACAGAATTTTCTTTCTG